ATTCCACCGCAGATCGGCCAGCTATTTTGTTCTTTTATTCGAAGGCTTCAAAAATGTGACAGTTAAACACTCTTCCTTTCGTAATTGTCGTGTCAGTGCTTATAGACCGGAATGGGATAATCGTAAAACCGGTTTATTTTACAAACCAACCGCAGGTGCCATCTCTATCTTATTCAATCCAGACAAACCGCTCAGTCTGGGATGTGTGAAATCCAAAAGCGCTAAAGAGACACACCCTTCATGGAACTATAGTAGTCATGTGCTCTTTGAAAATACAAAGTTTGAAGAAAACGTAGGAATTGAAGTTGGGGCTGTCCATATTAGCAATGGCTTCACGAAATTCCGAAGATGTGTGTTTTTCAACAACTTTGGCATTCGTAGATGTGGACACGTTCATTCTGCATTTGGAACTGGCCGCGTAGAATTCGAACATTGTTCTTTTTTGAAGACAATGGAAAGTGCGACAATTTCAGACGGCTCTCAATTTGATAAAGGTGTCTTCCTTTACTCTGCAAGTGGAGGTCCCTTGATATTTAAAAACACATCAATGACCTCACTAAAATTTAACAGGAGCTCTTATCCGATTGTTGACATTTCCAGTGGGGGATTTGTCCACATGGATGAAAAGTCCAGGATGAAATGTAATAAAGGAGAGGCTCTTCTATTGGAAAATGGTACGCATTTTCAATACACGGAGAAAAACAAGAGCATTTGTGTATTAAATGTTACCGTTTTGAAATATTCATGTAAACCCTGCCATCCGGGCCACTACAGCCTTCAAAAGGGGGTCTCCGAAGGCTTATTGGTAGACTCCAGGGCTGAGTGTCATCCATGTCCGTTTGGAGCCATCTGTATTGAGAGGAACATTGTTGCGAAACCTAACTTCTGGGGTTATGTAGCACCTGACAATCCATCAATGCTGAAATTAATTGCTTGTCCTGAAAATTATTGTCCATTGACTTCGTCAATAGACTACAGCAGCTGCCAAGGAAACAGAAACGGTACTCTCTGTGGACGGTGTGCTGATGGGTTCACTGAGACTCTTTTATCAACTAAATGTCGCAGGTCTGCCAAATGCAACGACTATTCTGTGTGGGTTGTGACCATATTCCTAACAATCACGCTGGCTATCTATCTTTTGATCAAGCCCCCAATACTGCGCACCCTAGGAAATCAAATCTTATGGTTCAAGAAATCAGATGAATATCAGCCGGGAGAAGGATCGAACATCAATGATGATGGTGAACATTCCGAGAGTGGCTTCTCGAAAATTACGTTCTATTTTTATCAAGCAGCTGAGACTTTGATAGTAGGTTCTGTAGAAGAACTTGTTGGAAAAATTCCTTTTATTCACTTTGTCATCTCTGTGTATAACTTCCACGTTCAATCCATCAATCAAGGACTTGGCTGTCCATTTGCAGGACTCACCGCTGTAACAAAAGAGCTCTTTCTTTCTGGTACAGTGTTTTTGACAATGGCTAACCTTGTCCTAATCTATGTTGTGCATCATGTCATCAATATGTTAATGGGAAAAGGCAAGCCCTCCCTTATCTCTTATATGGCCGTTGTCATGGAAGTGTTATTGCTTGGATACGAAAGGCTTGCAGAAACAGCCCTTAAGCTAATGCACTGCGTCTCAATTGGATCTGGAAAATGGTTATTCATCGATGCTAATGTCCCATGCATGCAGTGGTGGCAATATCTTCTTCTTTCGTATATTGTCATCTTCCTTGTTCCTTTCATCGTCGTTCTTTACTGGGGATCTTTCAAGCTGTACAGATCTTCCATTACAGCAGGAGAGTTTGTTGCCGCCAGCATGATTCCACTACCATTTCTTATATATTGGCTTGTCAAGGGAAAGCTGAAAGGGAGAGGCCAGGAGTCTTCTGGCCAGCAAGTCCTAAACACAGATGTTTCGATTATACTCCATGGTCCTTTTTGTCCGCCAACCGATATTGACAACGGAACCCTCTACTGGGAGAGCGTTTTGATTGGTCGAAGACTAGTTCTCCTCGCTTGTGGGGCGTTTATCACAGATGTCATGTTACGGATGGTCTTCCTGTCTGCTGCATGCTTACTGATAACCCTCCATCATGTTTTGAAGAATCCTTATCGACATCCCATGGCGAATAATGCTGAAACATTATCTCTTGTAACCTTATCTCTCATTGCTATCATCAATCTGACCAAAGCAACTACATTATCATTTGGTATCACGACTGACGGGCCGACTGGGGCATATCTGAAAGCTCTTGAGTGGTTTGAGGTGTGTGCTTTGGCATTTGTCCCAGCGTTAATATGCATTTTGATCGCATTTGCCATTTTGTCTCAGTTTGTGAGGTTTGCTCTTCTTTTGATTGAGAAATGTTTGAGGTGTTGCAGGAAGATATCTTTCTATCCACGGTACGAGGACCAAGAGCAAAGACCTCTCTTGGCTAATACTGAACAGAACTTTAATTAAACTCAGGATGCTAATATATATCAAATTATTCTCCTAAAATCTCAACGTAATATGAATTTAGTAGAATTGCTTCTGTGATATTAGAGATTTGCGCGATTTGATTGGTCGAAGATCGCGTCATATCTCTCAATCATCTTTCTCGAGGTGATTATAGCAGGGGCGCTTAATTTCAAAATGGCTGCTTTGCATTTTGTCATTGTTATGCAGGATTGATAAACGCAATGAAAGAAAATACAATTTTAAAGAGCATAAAATATGCTATTAAGTTTAGCGTCACACTTTTCAAAGAAAGATGTGAAGTTTTCGCTGATTAAATTAATGTACTTCTTAAGTTCTAGTGGAAGTTTGCAGCTTATCTTGATACGATTTATCCAAACAATTGCAATGGAATGGTTTCAAGAATAAAACGAATTAACTATCGAACTCGAGAACGCCTTAGCAATTAAACTCAAACAATTATTTGTTTCAGGTTCAGTGAATTATATTGAATAATCTCCTGGGGGATTATTCAACAACATTTACTCTACATGTTGCGTAGAACTGCAAAGTATTTCATATGTTTTACATCGAGGCGCTAGACTAAGCTTCATACATGTACATGCCATTAGGTATCTTGTCTAGAATCTCAAATACCACTTTGTTTTTTCTTACTATTCGCTTGGTTGATTTTTTTATCACAGTAGCTTTCCCAACATAATGTGGATCAAAATTAACTAGTCAATCATTTAATTCAAACGGCAATACTATTTTTCGTTGTAGGATCCTCGTGAAAAAAAAAAACAATTATTCGGACCTTTCTTGTGAGATCTCCATCAAATTTGATGATATCAGTTTGTATTATACATTAATCTTATAGTATTTATCATTAGTCTTAAAGATCGTCTTCTTCTTCCCTCCAATGACACACAAAATGAAGTTGAATTACAGTTGTAGGAGGCTAATGTAGGGGTAAAACTTGATATTGCACGGTAAGACATGGTTGACGTCCGAATCAATTAGCGTTTGCGACAGGATTTAGTTGAAAAAGATTAACTGGCGGTTTTAAAATACCACTCTTTTTTAAACTGACTCGGCTGGTTGGGAATGAAGAAGAAAAGCTGTTAATACAACGTGTAGAAGTGTATAAATCAACATGTTTTGAATAATTTAAAGTTCATCAATAAAGCATTTAACGGACTTCTTTGTCTTTCGATTAGAAAAAGATTGGGTATTTGCTATTTTCCATATACTTTTCCCCCTTCACCATTCCCCATTTCATCATATAGTAACATCCGTAAAAGATCAGTCACAGGTAATTTCGAATTGTCGGTTACAATGCATTCATTTCGTGTTTTAATTGATCGACAAGGTTTGAGCATATCCTTTTATGTGGACCCACCTAAATCTTACATTGAAAATGGCGAATTACTTATGCCAAAAGTTCCTGAGGCCCTAAGGATAGGTTTGTCTCTTTAATGTTTTTGCGGGGACTTATTCGTATTTGCTGACCTCGACGAGCTCATGTCCATGAATCTTTTAATTCAGTCCTGTGCTGGAAAATTTTCTTTTGGTCGTGCAGTAGTGTCATTACGTGACAAGTGGACTAAAAACCGTCTGTAATTAATTTTGATCGTTCACAAAAAGTACCTAGAAAGTTAAAAGGTGAGGTATTTGGTTACAGTTGAACTAATCGATGGAACTGTCATTCTTTTAATATCTGAATTTTCTCAAACAATTTCTTCATGGTGAAAGAGCGAGCGAAGTTTTCAGTTTTATAAGAAATATACGCTCTCGGTGAGTCTTTCCAAGTCCGTTCAATTTGGACATTTGTACCGTAAATTGTACAACAGAAACTGAAGGAATTCAATGAGAAAAGGCCGCATTAAATCCCCTTGTGTCTCGTTGGAGTGTATCATTCGAATTTAGTTTTTGTGGAGGAAAGACCAGATTTAGGATGCGTTCCTTTGTGAGGATCCGGATAAGGATTTGTGATCCAAGATCATACAGGTCACGTTGCATCAAAGGAACGGAGCTTTAGTTCATCAGATCAGTTACCATGACAGCAGGCGCGAAATTGTAGAGCGCGTCAGCGGAATCGCGCGCTAAATTTAAAAACGAAAACAAGATGGCCGTCGCGCATGGAGCAGCTGTTGTTTTGTCAATAGAGGAACTTTCCGATAATTCAATACTACAAGAAACGAGAAGTTGTGAAGATGAAGAATTTCTATAGTTTCTTTTGATAAGGGAGAGGCAGAGTGATGTGCGCATTGAGAATTATTTCGAACGTACTAAACCACTCTACATTGTTTCAGATTTTTTAAGAGCTAATGTCAGCATGAATCAAACAAACAGCGGCAAGTCACCCAAATTTGTTTTCCCTCCTACTTTTATATTTTGTAGCCCGACATGTTTTTATAATTGTGGTGTAGTTTTTTTGTAAAAATGTATTTTAGTTTTCCAGAAATAATTTTTTTCGTTCGACTGCTCAAATATGCAAATTTTCACCGTGAATATTACCCGAGTTGTGTGACCTCATGTATCGAATGCGCTAGACGGTATTTCTGTGAACATAATCCTTTGTTTTATCATCTAAACTTAATCCCCTGTCGTTATTGAAGCTGCCAAGGAAATATTTATTTTTTGATGAATATTTTTGTCCGACATACTTTTCCCATGTCGAAAAGTAGCATCAAAACAAAGACAGTTTTAACAATGACCGATACGACACAATTTACTGACCTTCAAGCTTTTAAAAGACCAAAGGATGGTTAGAAAGTTACTGTAAAAATTTCCTTGTGTATTTGTGTTGTTCTATCTTGAGACGAACTCAAAGTCCGGCAAAATTTACTTGATAGCGACTATGAAATATACACGGTGCGCCTACTTGTCGCCACCGTTGACTGGCATAAATCACTACAACTTGTAAAAAAATCTAACATAACACTCTTATCTTGTTTATTTATGATTTTATCAGCTGTTTCGATGATCACGTTAATTACACTCTACCACATTCTAGCCAGATTTGAGTTCCAGTTTATATATCCTCTCTAACTTATTATATCAGTTGCGTGACAAGCGTGACACAGAAACTCAGAGATGAATCAACCTCCGAAATACCAAGAGATGGGTTTTTTTTCCTCTTTGCATGACATCTAGAAAAACTTTCAGGAATTGCTGCATTCGGAAAACTAAAATGTCCAGATCCATTAATGATTCCTTTGCCGGATGAAGTCAAAGTATGGTTACAGTGGTCAATTTGATTGACAAGCTACATACTGATTTAGCTAACTGATCTGTTTTATAAGCGTCTCATCTTAAATGCTAACATGGAGATTTGCTATTTAGTTAAATTGTTCGCTGGTGGAACTTGTGGGTTTAGTTATCAAGAAGACCTAGTCGTTCCCTTGCGTGATTGTTAAAAAGACATTTCATGTCACTTGCAGAGTTGCAAGTTTTCAGATCCAGAAAATGAAGTTGATCTGGTTTTGTCGCGTGCCGGCATCTTCGAGACGCCAAAAGATATCGACGATTTTACAAATTGCCCCACTCACAGATCAAATCTCGGTGTTGGGTGGAACCGTAGTTCCAATAGCAGATGTAGGGTGCCAAAAAAAATTTCCGGCAATGGTAAAAATAGGGTTAAGTCGATTCCAAAAGCTGATAGGGGAATTAGCAAGCGTGTATCACAGATAGTATTCAAGATGTCTGGAAAATTCATACAATCTGGCTTCGGTAAGTAGGCTACTTACCACCGTGAGCAAAATTACGCATGACGTCAGAGTTAAGTCTCGATTGGGAATTGGTCAATAGGCTACCAAAAATTCAGACAGAGGCGGAGTTTTCTGAAGTAACGTCTGAACACTTTCGCTTAGCTTTCCGCCGTATGGGGGACGCGTAATTATGCACACGGTGGTAAAGTGCCCTTCCGCACTAACGACTAGACGCTGACAAAACATGTTTCTCTTCGCCAAAATTACATCAGAATTTGTCCTTGCTAAATGTCAAGTGTGCTGCACGTATTAGCATCCCCAGGGGACCCCTTTACATAAGAAGGCGGGGGTGCGCGCCTGGAATTCCGAAATCTATCGCTATAAAATTATAAAAGGTGCTTAACTCTTATCCGTGTGGGAGTGGTAACAATTAGCCTGTAAAAACAAGTGCTTATGTCCTTTTCTGTCTTTTTCAGTGCTTCCCTCGCTCCTACAGAGGATTCATACAAACATGAGAGCCGTGCCGCGTTTACATTGTACAGATAGAAAAGGTCGTCCAGAATGAGTCTTTCGTTCTGTAATGAAAACCCCAATAAACTCACTCAGAAATGACTCATTTCGAATAAATTTTACGCTGGTTATTATGTGGCAACCGGTATGAAATCGTTCTTGTACAAAACTCATTCGGATATCATGTAAAAGGCCCCTAAAAGTTTTTATTCCCAGAGCATCACGCTTTGCTCGCCTGTCTGAATACTAAAACTTTCAGTAGCGTTGAAGCAACAACCCGCTTTTAACTGCTTCGCTGCCGCTGAAACAACGATTAGTGAAGAAAGCACATATTTTAATATTTTCAGTTCAACGTAAATAAAAATCTTTATAATGGTAAATATTCACTTGTGTCTTGCGTGACTAGCCTATGATATAAATGAGGGAGTGGAAAACACAACGCAAAACCTGAGTTCCTGTCAAAAAGTAATACCCAGACGTAATAAAATAATCGAAGCGGCTAATAAAATCATGAATAACAAAAAGGTAAGAGTGTTATGTTAGACTTTTTTACAAATTGTAGTGATTTGTGCTAATTAACGGTGGCGACAAGTAGGCGCACCATGTACATTTCATAGTCGCTATCAAGTAAATTTTGCCGGACTTTGAGTTCGTCTCAAGATAGAACAACACAAATACACAAGGAAATTTTTACAGTAACTTTCTAACCATCCTTTGGTCTTTTAAAAGCTTGAAGCTCAGTAGATTGTGTCATATCGGTCATTGTTAAAACTGTCTTTGCTTTGATGCTACTTTTCGACATGGGAAAAGTATGTCGGACAAAAATATTCACCAAAAATAATTATTTCCATGGCAGCCTCAATAACGACAGGGGATTAAGTTTAGATGATAAAACAAAGAATTATGTTCACAGAAATACCGTAGGTCTAGTACATTCGATACATGAGGTCACACAACTCGGGTAATATTCACGGTGAAAATTTGCATATTTGAGCGGTCGAACGAAAAAAATTATTTCTCGAAAACTAAAAAATATTTTCGCAAAAAACTACACCACAATTATTAGAACATATTGGGCAACAAAATATGAAAGTAGGAGAGAAAAAGAATTTTGGGTGACTTGCCACAATATTTCAAATTTGTTCGATGGATGCTGACATCCTCTCTTAAGTCATTTTCGGATGTCAAGAACTACAGTCAGCTGTTTGGAGCGCCTGTTAACTACTTGCCAATAATCCAATGACCCGTCTTTAGATCACGCAGATCAGTGATCCGATGAATCCTTGTCCAGAGTGGATTTGATAGACCACTGATCTGAAAATGGATTTGCTCGAAAGGAACGTCACAGATCAGAAATCCAGATCCGGATTCTTCTAAAGGAACGCACCCTTACACACGCAAGTGCAGCAAACAAACGAGCAGACCCTTACAATTTCAAAATAAAAAATTTGAATTTACTTAAATCTTCGTACATTAATTAATCGTCGATGAGAGTGAATAATACTTTCCGTAAGATCATTGACTGTATTTGAAGAAAACATTGTCGTGCCAGTCCATACCAAACTAGTTTCGTTGTTTTTCAAAAGTAGAAATGTGCTTTCTTTTTTCTCATCCGCTCTCTAATTAACAGGTGTCAGATTGTGACAGATACTTGTTAAGATGATGTTTCAAAGTTTATTTGGAAGCATTTTAAATCACCCTTATCAATATTTACAAAAATGGAAATGTTTCGGTGAGGCAACTCTCTTTAATTTCCCTCACCTCTATTTTGCTCGCTCAAAAGTTGGGAAAATTTCCGCACAGCCCCATACTTCATTATGCATGCACATCTTATTGGTGATACACTGAATAATAAAGCCTCATATATGGATGCATAATGAAGTATGGGGTTGTGCGGAAATTTTGCCAAAAATTGTTCAGTTTATGGACGATCTTGCCATATTTACAGCCCTACATCATTTGGGTTCTTTCGGAAAAAATTTCGTTAAGTTTACCAAAAAAATTGTTATTTACCGGGTAAGGCTCGGTCCGTAAGGTGAAAAACTGTGACCTTGGTCTTGAAAATGCTGCCTTGTGACCTCGGTAGGCCTCAGGCAGCATTTTTTGAAGACCGAGGTCACAGTTTTTCAACATACGGACCGACCCTTGGCCGGTAGATAACATATATTTCTGCGAATGCTTTTCTCAGATTCAATGTAATCACAAACACATTCCATGCGTGACGAATATGTCACGACATATGTAGACTAAACATAGGCATACTATGCATGCAATAGTTATTTTTGGGGGGGTGGGTGGATTACTTGAAGCATTGTAACTGGTGTCTGCATTCTTACAGAAGGAAAGAAGAGTATTAACGCGGCAAAGAACGAAAATGTCAAATTAGCTCATACACAGGTATTTTGTGGTAGATTGTGTGTGTTGTGTGAATAACTGTAACCAAAAATAAACTGTATTGGTACCACGGATACCTGTTAGTACAAAATGCAGACTGCAGACTGCAGACCGGATACTAAATGTAGACTAGGTACAAAATGTAAACTGCAGACTGCAGAGTGGGTAAAAAATGCAGACTGAGAATCTAAAGAGTTTTTTCGTCTGGTATGTGATAACATATCATCTTACAACTGACCGAGCGTCACACAATCGCTTATCCGCGGTCAGCTTTCATTATTATTTGCACTATCTTGGAATATTCCTGGCCCATTTCTTGATGAAAATCGGTCGTAATATAATTTCAAGCCTTCATATAGTCTTCTCTTTTTTATCAACGTAATAAAAGTAGATGTAGATGTAACCGAGATGTCACTATTGAATATTTAACAAGCGCAACATTCGAGAAACAATTAGCAGCTTTGCACGTAGTCCGTATTATCATCTTTTTAAGCGGTATGTGTTTATTTTGTTGAAAAAAATGCGGACTGAGACCAAAACTGTTCCTTCGACTCGATATATTTTCGACGTTGGTAGATCACATCATATTAACTTACCTCCGTAAATCATTCATTCCAATTCCAGATAACAAAATCAAATACACATGCAAACGATGGTATCTGAATTCAAAGCATGGTTAAATTCAGATACGTGGACAATTCAGCCAATCAGATGATCAGCTTCTCCTCACTCATGCAGTATGTTTTGTAGCAGTCGCTACACCAAAGGTCCTTGGATGGTCTAAAACCAAAATATTGTTCCAAGACATAAACGGCTGGAAAAATGTAAGACTACTCACCGGCCGAACTATGCGATCGAAATTAGGGGCGGTTTCAATTTCATTCACCATGTTAGGTTGTTTTTAGCATCACCTTACCTTGTACATGCGCTCTACATCTGCCGAATTCACGAGGGACTAAACAGTTCAGAGCCCTTTCACAGGTTGGAATAGCCTTTATTCAGGATATTTCGACATTTTTCTAAGCAAATTATTACTACAAAAGACACAAGGGTAGTAAAAGCTAGTTACATACACGATAAATAGCATACGGTACTGCAGGATTTTTTGAAAATACATGTGCTTCGACCAATTTTAACTAGAACTGTAAATAGACTTTGAAACACCTTATTTGAAGCACGCTGTTTAAAAGATGAAGCGTTTTGATTAAACTGATATTCATAGCACAGGTCGATTGACTCTATGGTCACTCACCTCTCCCCCTGGGCCTTCTATCTAATCTCTTTTAGCTCTATATCCGACACAGGGAGTTTAATTTATCACAAAATCACTACTACCATATTCATTATTAATAATATATTCGTTAATGTTACCGTTAACTTTATAAACCAGATCTTGTCTTTTTTTTTTCAATTCACACTTCTTACTTTATATAGTTATTTTCCAATGTATAACACGAATTAACTGGCAAAATGACAAAATTATGCAAAAGATGGCGATCGTGATCTTTCTCCTTCACTTTTCTCGTATTAATAGCTGCAAAAAAATTTCCAAAAGCTATCCACAATGGTCACACTGCAACAGAATAAATTAAAGGAAAAGTGGGTTCATAGTTGTTAGAGCTTTGTAAATTTCTTCGAAATAATGCAGCCGAGCGTGGTGCATACACTGTAATATTCCTGTCATTATGTCAAGAAGCGCAATATAGGGATTATTCTATCTAGAGAAAATATCTGAGTGCTACAAGGTCAGTATTATGCTCAAGTGGAGACCTATCATTTTCTGCAAAAAAAAAAACCCTCTCCAAAGAGTGGGATACACTTACTTGACGCGCTGATTACTGTGGAGGGTAAGGTGGCACCCCACCTGGTTGTCCAGTGGGGTAAGGAGGTGCTCCGCCCGGTTGTCCGGGGAGGTATGCTGCCTCACCCCCGAGGGGTTCAAGTGGGTACGGTTGTCTTGAAGGAGGGTATGCCCCAGATTTTTCTGCAATTCAAGCATAAAGTTTCGGTTTCAAGGTCCCATCCCTCCGAGAACGATGTGTATCATCTACAGCGCAGAGAAGTTCTGCATACACATCTCTTTCAAAGATTCTCGGAAGCTTTTAAGTATTCACTTAGGCATGAAATCAATTCTCTGTACTTATTGATTGTACTTTCAGTTCATGTAACAACGTCTGCCTTCTTTTACAGTGTTGGTAGCCCTACTCAATTGTAGCCTTTGGAATGGACAGTTCAATATCGGACAGGTTCTAGGTAGGGAAATCAAGTGTTCTCTCAATTGGACTTTTTTCAATTCTAAATTTTAAAAAAAGTTAAAAAATGATAGATAAATAAATTGGATTCAAGAAGTGACGCTTCCATAGGGCGCCTATTTATGCATTGTTTCACAGATCCTCCTGGGATTTGTAGTGTTGGTTTCTTGTGGAGGAGGGAAAAACAGAAAGCTGGGAGAGAGGACCCCCCCGCCCCCCCAGAAAGGACGAGAACTAATAACAAACTCAACCTACGTTTCGTCCTAGGTTCAAGAACTGAACCTGTACCACAGAGGTGGAAAGCAAGGACTCTCAACCCTGAACCATCCTTTATCCCCAATCTAGACTTTGACTTCCTCTGTTGGACCTTGACAATGAAATGACCAACAGTTTCAATCAACTTACCTTGTGTGGGGTAAGGAGCTGCCGCCCCTTGATTGTAGGGGGGTGGTGCGTAACCTTGCTGAGGCCCTGCAGAAGGAGGGTACATGGCCACTTGCTGAGGTTGGGCAGTAGTATATGCCACAGCCATCTGTTGTGGCGCCCGTGCCCTGACTCTCTTTTGGTGAACATATTTGTAGAAGACGAAGACACCAATGGCAATCAGAACAACAACTGCCACCAAGACGCCAATCACAATGCCAACAGTTTTAGCGCTAACGGAGGCTGTTCAATAAAATAAAAAAATATACTTTCTTACTTGCCGAGCTGTGGAAAGAAGAATTAAGGATCTCCTAAAGAAGTCCGAAAGGTCAGAATAGCAACACCATAGCCAGTTAGAATTATTCTCAATCAAAGCTTTGAACACCTGTAACCCAAAAACATGTTTCATTTTAATATCCTACATCATGAGTACACCATCGTAGGAAAAGTCGAATAAAAGAACGCAGGGCTTCAGATTTGAAACCACACAGTAATATCAATCCTCCGATTGTTTCCCGAAATATCTGATTGGTTTATGTCTATCATTTGATAGGGGCATGTAAACCCCAAAAACGTTCATTTTCTTTTCACATAGATGTTTAGTAAATATATCAAGTACACCAAAGGTACCATTCGTTTATTCTCAAAAGTCCATTTTCACTTTGTAAAAGCTCTTCCAAATTCGAAACATTCGTAAATGGCGCCATCTTTCCTGTGACGTCACGGGTGGACCCTCCAAAGTCTCGTTTT